AAAGGTACTTCCTCATCTTGGTAAACTTGAAAACATAATCACCCCATTCAAAACTGTAAAATTAGAAGGTAAAATTCAATTTTACACTTTAGATTAGAATTACTTTGGAGTCTTTTTTGGTACAATGTGGAGTGGAGATTTGAACTTCCGACATCAAGAGGAATGAATAGGTATATTAACCGTTGAGTTGGATGATATCATTTATTTTTCTTCCTGCTTTTAAATTTTTATTGTTTAATAACTACTTTTTTTTTATTTATCATTATGTATATATATTTTTAGTTTTAATTTAGTTTTTAAGAGTTTAAAAGTTTTAATTGGGTCCTTGGATGGAGATAAACTATACGAAGTATTCATATTATTAAAATTSGTTACCAGACACATTTTACACGATATGAATCCGGTCCAGCTCCTACTCCTTATTATCCTTCAATTTTGTTGTTCATATGATTAAGCCATAAAAAAGGGCAAACGTGTTGTTTGTATAAATAGTAACCGATATGATGTGCAAAAACTCACTACACAAGCATACAAACAATATATCGTGGGTAGAAATTGGCGAATCAAGGTCTATAGCGTCAGCATAGATGACTTATATCGATAGAAGTGTCAGGATAAACATTCTATGGCGACACTTTGAGAAACGTCGCCATATGTTGTCTTTGTGATAACTCTCCATGTTAGAGTTACTTTAATATTATTTTAGAAGATTTTGTTTGTGTTTTTTAGGACTCTACCTCAGTTTTGCACATGCCTGCAATGCTTAATTTTTGTGATCATGAGAAATGAGCCATCTATTAGTATTATTATTATTTTTAGAAGTATCCAAAATTCACTCATTTTAAGCATTTTGAGCAATGTTTAAGCATTGCTGGAACATTAAGAACTTTCGAAGCCAGTATAGATTGCTCAAGTTCGATGTCCTGTGAAGAATCATGAAAGTAACTTATTTTACACTATTTTTACTAATATTTGTACAACATACGTTTTGTTGCCATAATTTTAAGAAGCAGTATAAATACTTAAATATGAGGTCCATATCAGCAATCCCTAAGGGAAAGAAAAGACAAGGGGGAATATACCCAAAAAGAGGTGGTGACGAAGGAGGAAAAATGTTGCAGCAGCATGGAGTCATACACATTGGCTCAAAACGAGGACCCATTATGTTTTCTTCCATTTCTCATCTTTTCTCTGTGGGTTATAACTTTTTTTTTATTTGAACCATTTTATGATGTATTTGAGTTAACCCATTTCTAGGAGGTTGATTCGCTGTGAACATATTTGTTGAGTATTGAAACCTCTATTGTCGTTGGAATTTTTATTTTTTGAAAAAATGTAGAAATACATGTCTAACTTTGCTTTGATTTAGATCCTAAAGCATAAATACTTAGGAATAAGATTTACTTAGAGCTGACTTAAAAATTGCTTTTATTGTTTCTTTTTTTTCGTTTGAGTATGCTTTTATTGTTTCTTGGAGCAACGAAAGTTGTAAGAAAGAAAATTTTGGTGTTTAGAAAGAAAACCAAGCCTGTTTGGCTGCAATGTATACATTTTCATGCTCAAGCATTGGATAGTAGTAGTGCAAAAGAAGTTGACCTCCCATGCTTTGTAATTACCTAATATTTTAGTGTGAATTGTGTTTGCTTTTGTTCCTCCGATACTTTTCTATCATTATTGTCCTTTAATTCGATTTATATGTTTATATTAATATTAGGTTAAGTTAAAAGCAAACAAATATCTTTGTGGTTACTTTCCCTGATTTTGTTAAGTCAATCTCTGTGGAGACAATCTTTTATTACTTGCTACAATCTCATTTGTATACTCTTGTACGTGCTCTGGGGGTTGCTAGGACAATACATTGCCGAAGTTTTTTTGAAGTGTGAACATATGAGAGATATGTCGACGTTTTATTCAGCATATTGGGTTATTGGCTTCTATTGGATCCCTTATTGTAAAGATATGAGGAGATGATTATTTTTATGATGTTGCGAGTCTTTGATTTCTTAGGTCTTGATAGTATGTGGTAGTGTCCCTATATCTCCATTAATCTTTTAGATGATGCAAGTTTTTGGGATAGTTGTAACCTATCGTCTGGGGATGGAGGATAGTGTATCTGGACTTCCTACGACCTCGGTGTTGTTCTTTCTCTACCTCAAGTGCCAGGTTCCCTTTGTCATCGATCTAAGCTCTCAAGTGTCTTGACATCACGTGATTTGGCCTAAACATACTTTTTTTGAGTTGGTTGGATATTTAATTCGTCTATCAACTCGCGAACGTATATGTTATTGATGTTCTTCAACTCCAATTTCCTATGTCCTTTGTTCTTATGAGATTTAAACTCAAAACCAGATCTTCCTTGAGGTTGTATGTTTATCAAATTTGTTTAGGGTGGAATGATTGCATCGATAGGTTCCTCAAATTGTATTTGCTTATGGGATACCTAACTAGCATGAATATGTTGTATTAGTAGAGGTTGTTTGTTAAAATGTAGAGTATGAGACTTGCTTGGGCCGCTTCTATATCTCATATTTGGAGAAAATGTAATTTCAGGATCTGTGGAGATGTCTCTTGTCCAACTTTGGTTATTTTACATTTTACTCAAGGTGATGTTTACAATCATGTTACTACTTGGTTGGATAACACATTTGTTCTAGATCTTATAGACTATGTTTGAGAATTATCTATACTATATTAAAAATGGACAATCCTTGAAAAACATTTTCGGACTAATATGACCCTCACTCAATTTTTAAATTATTAGACATGCCACTACTAATTAATTTTAAAAATAAATTAATTATTTTATTCTTTTTTAAATATAGTAAATTAATTAGTTAATAATTACTATATGGAATATAAAAAGTTGGAATGCAAAACGCCTTTCTACAAAATTAAATTAGTTAATAATTAATATCAATAATATTAAATATATGGAATATAAAAGGTTTGGAATGCAAAACGTCTTTTATACAACTTTAAAAAATTCATTTAATTCAAATTTATAATGGAATTTCTAATGTTTCGTAACTTTTGACCATCTATTACTTTATAAATATGAGTTTTCTTCTACCATTTTGTTCACAAACACTTAGAGATCCATTTATTCTTCTTTTTAGCGTTCTAAATTCATTGTTGTCAAAAAGCTCTTCAATTTTCAAATATGTCTCAAGATGTTGGTGATATACTCAAGTTGGAAGGGAAACAGATGTTGGATCTATATCTCGAATCCTAGACTTGCTCTCGGAGAACTCTTCGATTTTCAAATACGTCTCAACATATTGGTGGTATATTCAAGTTGAAAGATTACATGTTGGATCTATATTTCAAATCTTAGGTTAGTGACATTACAATTCTACTTTGTAATATGAGTCTATAGCTAAGGTCTTAGTCTAATTGTTGCTATTGTTTTTTTTCCTTTTATAATTTGTGTATTCTTTTATTTTAAATGTTTGGTGAACTTATTGATCGTAATTACAAGTTTATGTTCATTTTTTTGAAAAAAAAAAACAATCATGTAAGTCAATACCTTACAAAACTTTTAATTAATTACAAATAGTAAATTAATTAATTAATCAATTCATTAGGTAAGCAATCTAAAAAAATTAGAATAAATTTTTTTTTTCTATTTCATTCCTAGGAACTCATGGACTTTTCAAATAATTAGTATAATTATAAATATAATTAGTAAAATAAATCTGCTTTTAGTGAGGTTGAAAACATATATAAAAAAAGGCTTAAATTACGTAAATTTTATTTTTCAAAAATTAAAAAATAAAAATATTTATATATTTTTAATTGTTATATCAAAAACAATGTCATTACAAATGTTGTAATGAGATAATGCAATGTACAATACCAAGATTTTGGAATGTATAATTAAATATTTACATAAATTCTTTGTATCTTAGCGTTCTAAATTCTTTGTATTTATTTACATAAATTAATTGTATAATTAAATATTTATATATGACAATATTTAATTGTACAATAGGAATGTTAAAAGGTTTATAATTTTTTTAGTTTCCTCCCACCACCGTAATTTCGCGTCTTCCATTCATTTACACTCATTATAAATAATAAAATATATTTAACGTAACTATAATATTTCTATAAATTTAAAGTCCATACTAATTTAGTTAAATAAATTATTTTTATAATAAATAAAATCATATTTTAATGCACGTGAAATGCTAGTTGTAATGCACTAGTTTACATAAATTGGTTGTTATTTTTCCGTTGACGTATGTTGTGTTTTTTATGTTGTTTGTCTGCTTTAATTATGTTGCTATCTTTTTTATTGGTTTTCGTATCAATATTATTGTCTAGTTTATTTGTTCCTTTTGTACGTTAATCTCAGAGATCTATTTTTTTTGTTTGCAATATACATAACCATTTAATATTACAGTTAATGTTTGACATTCACAACGATCACCTATTAAATTTTGAAATTAATAAGATCACTAAAAAAATGCAATATTTTTTGATTAGTGAGTTTTCCTTTTCTTTTTCACTTTCAAGTAGTATTCGATCAATTACATATTAATCAATGTTTGAGATCTTGAGATATGAGGTTATCGATAAAAAAGATTTGTCTAAGTTAGAAATGTGGAGTGGAGATTCGAACTCACGATCTCTTGGTTGGAGATATATGTCAATTACCGTTTAGAGAAAAAAATATTTGAACCTCTTACCTATAAAGAAGACACTAATATTTATTTATTATTATTATTAATAGGTGCTAATACCACTGAGTTGTTCCTGTGGGTAGAAGACACCAATATTTTACCATTCATGTTTACTAAAAATAAGTATTTAATAAAAGTTTGCAAATGAAAACAAAATGTAGCAAAGTTCTAGAATTTAAAATCTTTTTTCTTTTTTAAAAGTTTAAAAAAGAAGGAAAAAGAAAAGGAAAAAGAAAAAGGAAGAAAATAAAAGAAAAGAAAGGCATGTAGGTGAGTGAGAAGAGAGATTTACGTGGGTGTGTTTAGAAATCATCCTCTGTAAAAAGAAGTAGAGAGAGAGTACGATCCCTTAATTTCCGGAACCGTTGGGACTTTGTCATTTTCATATTAATTTTCTTCGAATTTTAATTCAATTTTTCCTTTTTTTTTTGTAATTTTTTCTCTCGCCATTATTGTTGTTTGGCAAGAGGGAAAATTGATAGATTATAGTACTACACGCCCGGGTTGGGGGGAAGATTTTGGATTTCTTTCTCTTCCTCCCCATTGCTTATTTTTCAGGTAATTTTTCCATTCGCAATTCAATTTTTTTCTAATTTTTCTTCAATTTCTATGAGCTCGTTGTCCATTTTGTGAATTTACCAATTCTGGGTTTTGAATTTTTTCTAATATTATTAGATTTTTCTTCAGGCTGCTATAGATCAGGGCCGCGGCAGCTTGATCGCAATTCCCAACAGAAGAGTTTGATTTCCTGTTGAAGATTACCCCTTCACTTGTTGGAGTTCTGCTTCAGTTTGGTAAGATCTCTCTCTCTGGTCCTTAGATTCTGTTCATTTCATTGTTGGGTTCTGAATTATGGACGAATTCGATTTAGAAGATTGAGGATGTTTGCAAGTTCATGATGATGCCTTGGATATGAGCTAAATTCTACTGACAGTATGCTGTGACTTTTGAACTTTTTTCTTATTTGGCTGCCTTGAACCAAACCTGTTCGTGGTTATTGGATAGCTTTATTTGTGTTTTACTGTGTTGCTTTTATATATTGGGTTTGATTTATGTAATTGTCTGTGTTGACTTTCAGAGCAGGTTTGAATTCGTTGGGCAAACATGGGGGTTATGTCCAGGCGGGTTGTTCCTGCCTGTGGTAGCCTCTGTTTCTTCTGCCCTTCTATGCGGGCAAGGTCAAGACAGCCTGTGAAACGATACAAGAAGATCCTTGCTGATATCTTTCCTCGTAATCAGGTGAGTTTCTGTAATGTGGCTCGATTGGAGTGTGTCTCCATGTGTAAAGTTGAAGTGTTTGTGTTAGTTTTTCCGGTTTTAGAACAATTTGGATTAAGGTAGGAGTTCTGGAATTATGAGTTAATAACCATGCTTTATGGAACTCTGGTAAATTCTATTCGTCGCTCTCTTACTCTATCGCTAACAACGAGTCAGTGACATTGACTTTGGCTATAACAAGTGTTTTCTTGAAATACATACGTGTTATTATGAAAAGATAGACATGTGATTTTCTTATTTCTTTTTTGCTATAGTCTACATTTGAACTTTTTATACGCCTACTTATTTATTTAGTAACTACGTCTGCTAGGGTGCTGAACCAAATGATAGAAAAATTTCTAAGCTCTGTGACTATGCTTCAAAGAACCCATTGCGTATTCCCAAGGTGAGTAATTTTTTTTCTCTTTTTTCACCTCTTATCATACTTGACATCTTCTGTCTTCTAGCAAAGGCTATTATAACTTCTAGATAAGTTGATCACAATTTCAATTTCTGAGTCTTTGAATGAGTTTTCCGGTAATGAAATACTTGTATGCTAACAAAACATGCATGCAGTTGTAGCAATAGGCTAGCCGCATACGGAAAACTGTTCTAGTCTGCTTTACTTGATGATGCGAGTAATATTGTTATAAGTTCAGCTCTAGTGCTAAAATCTTGGTGTTTTGGACTAAGACTGAATAATTATTATATCATCTGTCAATTTGATTGATTTGATTGCCCCTTAAGTTATGATATATGCTACTAGAGTCTTGGCACACTATGCTGGTAGAAGTTACTCTTCTTCCCCCAACAATTAGAGGTTTCTATAACAAGTGCATATCTCGGCTGTCTTATAGAATGTTTGGTTAGAAAAGAATAGAAGGATTTTTATGGGTATAGCAACATTTTTAAAGGAACTTTAGAATTTGGCATACTTTCATGTCCCTTTGAGCTTCCGTGTCTAAAATTCTTAGTGGTGGTCTTTTGTTTCCAACTCGTAACAGCTGGAGTTCATTCTTGTTATTTCCTTTAGAAAGTTCTGTTGCCTGCCTTTTGGCCTGTGTTTTAATTTTTATTAATGGACTTTTTGTGATGGAAATTTTATTTTCTCCTGACTCAACAGACACATAAACTTGTTAATTATATGTTCCAGATAAGTTCTGTCCCAATGCAGCCTTTATATTTTCAATTCTTATTTGGAGGACGTGGATTAGCTCCTCTTGTTGAGATCCTCTGTTTTTTTTTTGTCTGTGCAGATTACCGAACTCCTGGAGCAACGATGTTACAAATATTTACGGAATGAGAATTTTGGATCGGTGAAAGTTGTAATGTGTATATACAGAAAACTTCTAGTAATGTGCAAAGATCAGATGTAAGTTTGATTTACTAAATCCTGTTGGGATTTAACTGGAATCTTTCAGTTTGGGGTTCCACTTTATTTCCAATTTACCATAACAAATGTTAGCATCAGATAATTTTCTTTTCCAATTTACCATTACATATGTTGCCTCCAAGGGATTGCCGGTTTGTTAGGACTTGAGGTTTCTTGGTCATACTGACTTAGAGGTCTCAAGTTGAAACCTTCCGGTGAGTTTAATATCAAAAACCCTTGATGTCTTATGAGCTCAGTCTTTGGGCCGGGCGTGAGTGCCCCTGGGTACAGGGGAGCAAAGCTCCGACTCCCCGTGATCCAAAAGAAAATTTACCATTAGATATGTTGCATATCATGGCTTGAATTCAACATGTTGTTCTTTGATCTTTCAAGGAACCAGGTTTTATGCATGTCATTTACCTAAACACTTCAACTCTTGCAGGCCACTATTTGCTAGTAGCTTAATTGGGATTTCTAGAACTCTTTTAGAACAAACACGACATGATGATATGCAGATTCTTGGTTGCAATGTTCTTGTTGAGTTCATAAATAGCCAGGTACATGGAGAATAAAGATTAAAAGTTTCAATGTTTGGGTCATCTTGATATTATATTTTACATAAAAATTGTTATTATATGCTCTGCCTGCTAATAAGTAATAAATAATGCATTTGGGTGATCTTTTTGCATCCTGTGTATGAAAAAATTCTGCAAACAGGGTATTTACTTGTAACTTACTGATGTTGATTGGCTTTTGCATCCAAAAAGTCTGTTCTAAATCTTTTTAGATAAGACAGTCTCTTTTAATTTTCTGCCCCATCATTTAATGATTATATGACACTAACGTTTCCAAATAAAGTAGACAGATAGTACATATATGTTCAACTTAGAGGGCATTATTCCAAAACTTTGCCAATTGGCTCTAGAAGGTGGGAGTGATGATGAGGCACCTCATTTGCGGTCAGCTGGGCTCCAAACTCTAGCTTCTATGGTATTACTCTCATTCTCACTCTCTCTCTCTCCTGGTCTGATGCTAATATTGTAGATAATTGTAAATGCATTTATGTACTACTTTCTTTTCATCTTTCTGTTTTCCCATCTTCATCCATGGTTATACACTTTGCAATGGTCACAATATATTACTGCCGATATCCTCTTCTGTATTATTGACTAGTTACACTGCAAAAACCTTTTGCAATCATTTAGCAAATACGTTTTCTTTTAATATCTATTTATACATTATTTTATGTTTCGTCTTAGTGTATTGTCGTTGGATATCCTATACTTAATTGTTCTAGGAATTCATGTATCTTGTATTTGTTTTTTTTTTTGCTCAAAATCCCTTCTATCTAATAACATTAAGCAAAAATTGGGTTGCAAACATGCAAAGAAGTCACTTTTACCAGAAAAATATTTTTGGGTGAAAATAATATTAAAAAAAAGCACCGCATTATTTAGTCAGTTTTAACCGGATCTTTTGTTCTATAAATTCAGCTAATTCTGTCCTCCTTTGACATTTTTGAAAACTTTGTCATTTCAATGATCTGCCGGGATGTAACTGGGAAAAGTCACCTCCCTTCAGTTTTCATAACGTTATTTATTCACCTCTCCGTTCTCATCTTTTTCCCTCTTTCCTTGTCCTCCCTTGCCTCCCGAAAAAACACCTTCCCTGTTTGTTAGAAATATAATGTTCAATGATTTAATGTTTTTAAAATTTGATAACATATTTTATAATTATAACATTAAAATTGAGATTATCAAATTCGTAATGCAAATAATTATAATGGACTAGTTTTTGGGTAGCAAATATCTTTTATAAAGAAATTATATTTTTAAACTACACAGAGTGCAGTTTATTAAATTCAACTTTTTTGAGTATAGATCTATAATGGCCAACTTGCATAAGGAATTCCAATAACCTATGTGAAGTTTCTAAAGCATTTTGTATAATCTTTTGTGGCAAGGCTCTGAACAAGAGTAATCCCCACTCCCTGGGTCTCGGGCCTCGTGTATGAAAAAGAGTAAAATAATCTTTTAGAATAAAATTGAAGACATTGAGGCTATGTGGGCTATGAAATTAAGATAGGCTATTGCTTTTGAATGTATGGTCTTCAGATTATTTTTTGTCCTTTTTCCCCCTCCTTTTTTTTTCTTATTTACAATTGTCAGCTCTTTCCTCCTTTTGAGGTGTTGTTTTTAATAAGATCCTTTTGAGGTGTTTTATCCTCTTTATCAAGACCATCCATACCTATATTAATTAATAAAAGAGTTTTTTGAGTAAGAAACTTATATTTCATTGATGATATGAAATATACAAAAGGCCATGTAGGCTAGTTACAAAAACGCCTTCCAATTGATAGAAGAGTTTATTGCTGAAAAGGACCTCATGAAAAACATCATCATTTGGAGTTGCTTGTTATGTAAACTTGGTAAGGAAAAAGTACTACCCCTTCAGTTTGTCTTAACTATTTTTATTTCCTACATCTCATGTCAAATGTGGTGAGAAGACTAAATGTCTCCAGATCACCTTGTTCTTTTATTGTTACGAGAGTGTGGGTGTGTTCTTCACCTTTTTAGAAATATACCCTTCTTGGATTCTGCTTGTCTTATGAAATGTGATGGTTGAGATTGTTGGTATATCAATCTGTCTTGCATTCACCTTTCTAGAAATATTCCCTTCGTATTCGGTTTCTCTTAGAAGATGTGATAATAGATTGCTTGTCTATATATCAATTTGTCTTACATGTTCACCTTATTAGAACTATTATCTTCTTGGATTCTGATTATCTTATGAGACATGATGATTGAGATCGCTGGTGTATCAATTTGTTTTCTTTTTACTGTTTGATTCTTTTTTCCTTCTTTTTCTCTTCCCTGTCAATTTACTACATACATTTATTTACTTGGATAATTTTCTGATGATCTTTTTTTAAAATAATTTTTCTAGATATTGTTCATGGGCGAGCAATCTCACATCTCAATGGACTTTGACGAAGTGAGCTGTCTCTTAATCTTGTTGCTTTTTTTCCCTTCCTGAAAATACTAAGGGCACCTACAGTATTTGGCTCTTTTTTTGTTGTAAAATTCAAAGGTGGTTTCCTTTTGGTAAGCTATAGCTGGATTCATTGCTTATATAATTTTCTCTCACTTATCTCGAAATAGATTATATCAGTGGTTTTGGAGAACTATGCAACAGATGGACAATATTCTAGTTCAGAGACGCAGTGCGGTCAAGGAGAACATAAAGTAGAAAACCATAGCTCTTCCATGTTTGATGTTGAGAAAAGGGTTTCTTCATTTAACCAATTTAGCAATTTGCAAGCTTCAACGTAAGTTCTTCATAATTTTATTAATTTAATAGGTTCATTTATTATTTGTTCGGAAATGGTCTCTGGTCCCCTTTTTTACATCAACCACCATTTTCCCAGGGATGTTTCCAGGAGCCCTTCTTATTGGTCTAGAGTTTGCTTGTATAATATGGCTAAATTAGCAAAGGAAGCTACAACTGTCAGGCGTGTGTTTGAACCTCTGTTTCATCATTTCGATACTCAAGATCAATGGTCCTTAGAAAAAGGACTTGCCTGCTCTGCATTGACATTTATGCAATTGCTTTTGGATGAATCAGGTTATATTTGGATTTCTATTGCTGATATATGTTTCTTCTAGCAATTATTTTATTGTTCCACATTATTTGATTTTTCTTCTTCCTTTTTGGTGGAACTTTTTCCTTGATACCAGGAGACAACTCGCATCTCTTGTTTTCGATTCTTGTCAAGCACTTGGATCATAAAAGTATCGTAAAAAAACCTCAAATTCAAATAGATATCATCAACGTAACCACACAACTCGCTCAAAATGCTAAACTGCAAGCCTCAGTTACTATAATTGGGGCTATCACTGATTTGATAAAACACTTACGGAAGTGCCTTCTATGTTCATCTGAAGACACCGATAAATTGAATGCTGATCTTCAGTTGGCATTGGAAAACTGCATTTCTCGGCTCGCACAGAAGGTTTATTTTTCTTTCTTTGTGGCATTTATTCTGATGATTGGATGTGATTAAGTTTGGCAGGCAATGATGAAGTAAACCACAAAATTTGTCAACTTATGGCATAATACCTGCAGATCCTGCTGAAATGTCTAGCTATATGTTAGGTCTTTCATTCAAGTCTCTTCAGCCATCTAATGAATATGTGGTTTTTCATTTCTTGTCTGACTTATATACTGTACATGTATGTTAAAATTAACATGTTTTTAGATATCTTAGACCATGAATTCGTAAGATATTTCATAAGAATATATAAAAATAACAATGGAATTTAAGACTTGTATGCATATCAAACACCACGATTATTTTCCCTCTTGCTATGCACTCACGTAATAATGGATATTTTTCACATCCCTTTTGCATTCTGATTTTGGCAGCAGCTGCTATTCAAATTTTTATCGCCATATGGTCATTGCTTAACTACCCTTTTGTCTCAGAACTTCTGGCAGGCCATATGCTATCCTAGTACAATGTTTTTATATCTAATTCAAAATCTTATGAAAGTTGCTTTATGGCTACAGACCTGAGACAATCTGGCATAAGTTATCCCTTGAATGTTGGTTCTCTGTATGACTTCCATTTTCTAAATTTGAATGGTGTCTGGTAACCAAATTATTTTCTTTGTTTTACTTTCAATTCTTGGATTTGCTCTGGTTGCGCACTTGAGTATTTATTTGTTAATATTTTCCTCTTTCCTTGTATTTGTAAAATCTGCCAATAGAAATTTCGAACGTTACTAAAATACTGTAGGAAATAGCTTGTCCTCCTCCTTATTTCATGCTTGAGGGAATATGGTTGTTGCTGCATTGTTGCACACTAAATCTATTTGAAACCAACAGGTAGGAGATGCAGGACCCATACTCGATATGTTAGCTGTGGTGCTGGAGAATATTTCGATTAATAATATCTCAGCTCGAGCAACAATCTCGGCTATTTATCAGACTGCCATGACTGTGGCTTCAATTCCTAATGTTACATATCACAAGAAGGCAAGAACATTCATTTGGATGGAACCATACTGATGAATTTTTTTAATCGTTTTTTGAGATGGGAGAGGAGACGTGCATTTGATCCTGTATTAGGATATCAATATCTTGTGAAACCTAAATCTTAGGTATATCATTATTTTCTTTTACAGGCTTTTCCTGATGCTCTATTTCACCAGCTGCTTTTAGCCATGGCTCACCCTGACCAAGAGACTCGAGTTGGGGCGCATGATATTTTCTCTATAGTGCTTATGCCATCCATTAAGTGTCCTCCTAGGATGGAATCCTCAGAAACTGTTGCATGGTTACCATTTGGCAGTGCAACACAGAAATTGAATGGTGGAGGTTTCTCCTTTCAAGACGAAGACAAACATGCATCAGAACACATAAATGGTCCGAGGGAGGAAGAAAGTCAAGCAGCAGACTTAATTACCAAAAAACCTGCGAGTCATCCATCTAGACGGGAATCCTCCAGCTTCAACCATAGTTTCACCGAGGGAGAAACAGTATGAAGTTCTAAACGTGTATCCTACGATATTACACTACCGATCAATTTCTCATAAAGTATTAATTGGTCTGAAAACTGAAGTCATTTGTTTTAAAATTTCCAGGAGTTGACTTCCCTCCGTTTAAGCAGTCACCAAGTGAGTCTCCTGCTCTCATCAATCTGGGTTCAAGCTACATCTTTGGATAATACTCCTGCAAATTTTGAGGCTATGGCCCACACTTTTAGCATTGCTTTGCTCTTTACCCGGTCTAAGGTGAATTATTTCGTAAATTTATTTGATAATTCAGTTTGTCTGGAGTATTACGAGTTTACTCTTAAATGCTGATCTAAAAAAAGAATTGCTAAGCTGTAGTGATATTAACAGACTTCAAGTCACATGGCTCTGGTACGGTGTTTTCAGCTGGCATTCTCCCTTCGTAGCATTGCCATGGATCAAGAAGGTAAACTGAGATCATTTTGTAATTAGAAAACTCTGCATTATGTGGGAAAAAGGCAGCCTTTAGATTAATGTGCCTGCCTATGTTTGTGAATTTCGCAGTTCCATTTGTGTGCTACAGTACGTGATTATATTAATCAATTTGAAGCTAAGCGAGGTTCTTAAATTTGAACATTAGGAATTCGTCACTTATGTCACTGATAATATAATATGATAACTGTTTATAGTCTGCTTTTTCTCTTGAATCTTGAGACCATAAAATTTCTATATTATATTCAATTCACAGTGTTTCTGATGAAAAGAATTCTTTTTACATTTTAAGTGCTTTGTCATATTTTCCACTATTTCCACATATAATTGTTAAATCGGTAATACAGACTTGTCTGATTGGAAGGAAGTATTTTATCTTTACAGAGTTATTTGTTGATTTGAAAGACTGGCAGTTTCCTCTTGCTAAAAGAGTATTAACAGATCTTTCTGTTTGCCAATTGAAGGAGGTTTACTGCCCTCTCGCAGAAGGTCAATCTTCTCTCTGGCATCATTTATGCTTCTATTTTCAGCCCGGGCCGGGGATCTGCCAGAATTAATTCCCATCATTAAGACATCATTAGCTGATAAAATGGTTAGCTTTTGAACCGGTCAAATACATTCAGGCCACTTTCTCTTGTGCTTTGATTATACTATTTTCTGCAGCATACGTGCTAAAATTATCACGTTGGACTTCTGATTCTGACAGGTTGATCCTTACCTTCAGTTGGTTGACGATACCAGGCTGCAGGCTGTTCGAGTAAAGTTCGAAAAGGATAGCGTGCCATTCGGGTCAGAAGAAGATGAAGTTGCTGCTGTGAAGTTTCTAGCAATACTTGAACTAGATGAACAGCAGTTGAAGGGAACTGTGGTCTCACACTTCATGATTAAATATTCCAAACTCTCAGAGGTCTGATTCTCATGCACTTGAGCTTATTTTACCTTTTCCAAATGCATTTTTATTTTCTTTCTTTTTCTCCATGAGAAACAGAACTTTCTTAAGAATATCAAAGCTCTACAGGGGCCACTGGAGAGTGGCCAAAAAACTTCACGAAATAACTAAAGAACTCCATGAGCAATAATTCAGAAAGAGAGGCATCACGGAAAGAGGTGGGAGTCAAAGCCTAAAGTGAGACCCTGAAATGCCTCTTTCGATTTAAGTTGAAGATCTTATGAGTTATAATTATGAAAATGAATGGAGCCTACAGAATATTGATCAGAGTTTTTAGACTTGTAATGATGGTGCTTGGTCGAGGAGTATATATATATATTTTTTTTGGGATAAGAAATTGATGTATCAACACAAGAAGAAAAGAACAGGGCAGGGATAAGAAGACCCCTCCCGGAAAATCAGAACGTTTAGACCTTCCAATCTTTAAGGAGCAAGATAAGTTGTAATTACAAAAGAATTTCTTGTCTTTCAAGCACCACAAATAAGTAGTAAGTTGTACACCAATTCTAAAAGAACAAAAAGTAGAAGAAACTCCTTCAAAAACTCTATTGTTTCTTCCCTTCTAAATGTTCCAAAGGAAGGCTCTTGGAGCACACTTCCATAATGTCTTCGCTATGCCTTTTGACGACCAACCATTTAATACCTCAAGCATCCATGTCTCAATCGATTTAGGAAAGCAGCAGGAGCGTACATTCTTTTTAAGATAAGAAACAAGGTAGCACCTTAAATAAATATAAGTTACATAAAATATGAGGGGAGATAGGAATCTCAGCCGAACTAAGGGAACTCAAATGAAAAAAAATTCAAATTCAAATTAATAATTGAATTTAAGGGAACTCAAATGAAAAATTTTCAAATCCAAATTAATAATTGAATTTAGTTACACAAAATCGAAGCCAGAACGGATATATTTTGATTTAAGACGACAAATTGGAGAGATCTTACCAAAAAAATTTAGAAAGACACTCCACGAGGAAGCAACGGAATAGTCTCCCAAAATCTCCCTTTCTAGTTTTCCTTTAATTTTTAGTATCGAAAGATTGTGTGTACAAAAAGTTAGATTGTAAATCTTACCCCTCCATGTGAAAATTTCTTGCTTCCCCCTTTTGCCTTGATCCTTTAAATATGGGTGGTCACAACATTTGGAGGATCAAAATCTAGATTTTGCAAGGAAAACTCCAACACTCTTATTTTTTTTAAAATGTTGGTTTTTAATCTAAACTTTTTCAAATATTGTGTTAACGATCTTTATTTTCCTTTAGGATGAGCTATCAAGTATCAATGAGCAGCTCTTACATGGGTTTTTGCCTGATGAGGCATATCCATTAGGAGCTCCATTATTTATGGACACGCCACATCCATGTTCTCCGCTTGCTAAGCTGGCATTTCCAGATTTTGATGAGGTGAGACCTGTTTAGGTTGTCTCTTAGTTGCCATTACCCCTTAAAAGAATTAACAGTAGAACCATGGTATGTGTTTCTTTCAGGATATGCCTCCAACTGCTTTGACAGATGATGAAGCCTTCCTTGAGCCTAGTGGAAGCCAGTCTGATCGTAAAACGTCACTTTCCATCAGTAACCTCGACATTTTAAGCGTTAATCAGCTTTTGGAATCGGTAAGACAGACATTTCATGGTGCTCCAGTCTTCTAATTCTTTCGTTGTAGTTCTAACTGCCTGAACTTTTCTAATTTGCAATTATGGAATTTTTCACAGCATTGGGACCATAGTTAACGCTTTATTATTTCCAATTATGCCTACTTCCTAGTTCTGCAATGTTCTCAGGATTGAGAATTAGTATACATCTACTTACTGCCAACATGCATTTTATCGTAATTTATTTATTTGCTGAGATGTAGGACGTATTATTATTACTCTTAACCCCAATTATTTTGTCTTTTGTTGAAGATTTAGTGACAATAGTACATAATTCATTGTTCCTATAATATTCTGATCTGAAAATAAGAATACAACAAGCAAGTGTCGGTATCGGATAGAAAGTAGTAGTTACCAGAACTTTTAGCCAGGGAACTCCAAGATGATGCAACACAACAATGTTTTAGCTACCTAAGTGGGATTCTAATGTATTACTTCTCTTTTTAAAGCCCCGCGGCTATTTTTATGGCTTTAAGTGGGATTCTAACTTATTACTTCTCTTTTTTAGAGCCCCTATGGCTATTTGTAAGGGTTTGGATAAAATAATGAGAGATTTCCTGTGGGAGGTGTGGGAGGTGGTGGATTAGGGGGGTGGAGCTCACTTAGTTGGAAGATTGTTTCCAAGCCATTAGAGGCAGGAGGTCTGGGATTGGGAACTTGAGACACATAAATGATGCGTTTTTGGCTAAATGGTTGTGGCGGTTCTTCCAAGAACCTAGTGCTTTGTGGTATAGGAGAGGATTATCGTGAGTAAGTACAGGCCACATCCCTTTGATTGGGTCTCAGATTGAGGGCTTAAGGTTGGCACTAATAACCCTTAGAAGGCTATTCCCTTAGATTTTCCTTTCTTCTCCCAATTTTTGTCTTGTGTGGTTGGGGATGGTCATGACACTTATTTCTGGGAGGACCTTTGGGTGGGAGAAAAGCGTCTTTGTTCTTTATTTCCTCGTCTTTTTCTCTTATCGGATGGGTGGTTGCATTCGGTCGCCTCGGTGCTGGGTTCTAGGGTAGAAATATATTGAAATATAAAAAGGTATAAGAACTACAATAACTACCAAGTAATTCGAGGTACTTTGACCCTCCCTCCTATTGAGTATTCTTACTCAAGCCTAAACCATACTCACTAACTGCCTACCCTCATCCTTACTGTATTTATAACCAAGCCCCCATCCTAATTACTAATATACCTTTAATAACTTAATAATATCCCTAATTTTACCCTAAGGGCCATTCTTATCGGTTGTCTATTTCCTTAGGCCTCAATCGGTCATTGCCTGACAAAGAATCTCGAGAGGCGGCTGAGTTGCTCTATCTGCTCTCTGATGCTCATTTCTTTCGTGATAGGAAGGATTTTCGTGTTTGGTCCCTAGTCTCTCTAGGGGTTTCTCTTGTAGTTCATTTTTTTAGATTTTGTGCTCGGATTCTCCCCCCGCTGCCTCAAGGTTTGCCACGCCTTCGAAAGTGAAAGTTCCAAAGAAGATTAAGTTTTTCGTTTGGCAGGTCTTACTTGGGAAAGTCAACACCCTGGATCGAATTCTGAGGCGTTCTTCTTCCTGTTTGGGGCCGCAATGTTGTCTTCTTTGCAAGTAGGATTCAGAGGATCTCGATCACACCTATGGCATTGTCAGTTTTTCCAGGATATTTTGGGCCGGTTCTTTGAGATCTTCGAGATTTATTGGGTTTGTCACAGAGATTGGGGGGCTATGGTGGAGGAAGTGATTTTGTTTCCTCCAGGCTTGTTTCTTTATGATTTTGTGGGGATTTTGTTGGAGAGAAACAACAGAATCTTTAAGGGAGTGGAGAGAGATAGGGAGTCCGTTTGGGATCTCATTAGATTGGTCTCTTTATGGGGTTCTGTTTCTAAGTTGTTTTGTAATTATCAATTAGGTTCTATTATTTTGGATCAAAAGCCCTACCTAAAGAAAGGGCTCCTCCTTCTAGGCTTTTGTTTTTGTATGTCCTTGTATATGTTTTATGTTTTCATTTGTCTCAATGAAAAGTTCGGTTTCTTATAAAAAAGAAAAAAACAAAAACAAAACAAACAGGGCATTAAGGTTGGAAAATTGTAGGGATTGCTGAGTCTTGAAGCGAAAAAAGAAAAAAGACATGAGGCAAAATTGATGCCTGATAAAATGACATAACCAAAATAAAAATTTTCGAATAGAGCCTCCCAAAAGAAATGAACTGCAAAAAGAAGCTTCAGGAACCTTGAACAACAATAACATTGTCGATGACATCTTTATCATCTGGAAACAACTCTTTAAACTTCTGTAAATATTTGGCCCAAATAATTTTAATACCTTGAGCAAGCTCTCTTTCACGCTCAGCTTAAATCTCCATCTTTCTTATAGAGTGTGCTTAAAAAAAAAAGATATTGTGAAGTGACATATTTCATTTGGTTGATGGTAAATTTTGAAATGCCAATACCAGAGGCCTTTGGGTGCTAATAATTTGAAAATAAATAGTTTCAATATGAAGTATTTAAAAGACACAAATCTCTTGCTTAGTGCACCATTTTTTGGGGTAAGAAAGAAATGTGTAGATGAACAAAATTTACAAGAGAGGGATGGATAAGTATGACTTTTTGAAGGTTAAAAGGTGCTTTCTATTAACCCATTAAAAGCACTTCTAAAATTTTTGTAGTCTTTTCGCTAGATTATCAAAAGTACTTTTGAAAAGTATGAAAATATTAAGGGTGTGTTTGAGAGTGATGGTAGAATTAGTGATTTTGAAAAAAGAGATTAAGTATAATTGATTTTCCAAAATCAAGTGATACCTTAAAAATTAATTTAAAGTGATTTTAAGTTTTCCTAAAATCAATTTTCTAATTTGTCAGATATGATCAATGGAAGTGAAGTGATTTTGACAATGGTAAAAGTGATTTTGGCTCCAAACACACCATAAAAGACATAAACATAAAGTGCTTTCAGGAGAAGTAATTCAAATGCATAGCGATGTATAAATCTAGGAAGTTAGGATAATAGGAGATTTGCATAATTTTGAGGAATCAGTCTAGTGTGTATTGTGAGGGAGAGATAACCCTCTCGAAATGCTCATTTTATCTATTTGATACTGCAATATAATTTTAGAGTTAGTTTTCTTCAAATCAGGATCCAAACATATGTCTGTACTATTTACAGGTGCTTGAAACAGCCCGACAAGTTGCAAGCTTCCCGGTCTCTTCTGCACCCGTTCCTTACGACCAAATGAAAAGTCAATGCGAGGCCCTCGTAACTTGCAAACAGCAGAAAATGTCAGTGCTTCATAGTTTCAAGCAGGAACAGGAAGAGAGTGCAATAGTCCTCTCCAGTGAAATTGAAACTTTATATCCCCCCTTACCCGTCAGTGTAAGTAATATCGATTTTTTCCGACCTCCAAAGAGAGCATTAGCTCTCCCATATAGACTCTGCTGGCCTTAGAATCTAACTGCACGAGTCCCTATTCTTTATATCATATCATCAAACCAGGAAACGCTACTAACACTTTTTCGGCATTATCGTTTCAGAATATGGAAATCGTTCCAGGGGATGTTAAGTATTGTACCAAGGAGACAGCCAAAGGACAGGATCAGCCTCTTCTTTGTTCACATGAATATGGGCGCTATTCTTTAAGATTACCACCTTCAAGTCCATATGACAAGTTCTTAAAAGCTGCTGGATGCTAGAACTTAGCTGTAACTTACATGTTTAAAAGCCAATAGTTTGTATTTCACGATTACGCCGCATTGGTATTCCACTTTCTATTTATTCATTCTTCATATTAAATTGTCGATCGGTTTTAGTTTGCTATACAGATGATGTTTTTTGGAATGTACGTGACAAGTATCGGAGTGACTTCAGCAAGAATTAGATGGTTAGACTTGGAAAGCTTTGTTCATTTCCAAAGTAATGCATATTTTTCTGAATTGGAAATCCTCATTTGTTGGGAGAAAATTGTGTATTTGTGATTTATATGCATGTTTATTTGTACATCCAGAGGTATTTTCATATTTTCTTGTTCAATTCATGAGATTCAGATCGTCATACCGTGTGTTTTTTTTTAATATTTCGTTACAAACAAGAGCGATTTTGCACAACCACTTTGTGTTCTCGCAAAAGTTTGAATATTCGGAAATATTTTCACTCACCTATCTACATACTATTGATTTTTGTTTTGATGAAATAACAAGTTAAAAAAAAAAAGGATATACATTACTTGAAAATCCATTGATTAAATGAATTTACAGTAATTAATTAATGTGTATTTAGTTTACCATTTGTAGTATAAGAGTATAGAGGTTTTGTAGCCCCATTATCAACTAATAGAATATGATGTATAGTAAATTATAATTTTTTCCTAAATATATACTTTAGTTCGAGTGTGCTTTTGTACTAAAAAAAATAAAAAATTCGAGGGTGCTTTTAAAAGGTAATTTTTAAATAAAAGTATTGCTTTTTTTTTTGGGAAGAATTACTAATTTAGTGTGGTGTTTAGTATATACTTTTATTTAATTTTATTTTAAAAGACTAAAAGTGCTTAATAACAATAAAATACATTTTTAAAAACTAAATTGATTTTACCATCGGTAGTTGGTGGGGCCTGTGGTTGAATGGAGTTACCCCTCCTCCGTTTGAGCCGTGTGGGGTTCATAGATCACTCCCCCAATTAATTTAAAACATTTTTTGAAGAAACATTTAAAAGATTATTATTTAGAAGGTGACTCTAAAGTGATGGATCGAAAATTGCTTTAAAGTATATAGTAAGGAAAAAAAAACATATTTGTGATCCGTAGAATTACTTTAGAACGTAGCATAACCAACCAAATTAAAACAAATTAATTATTAAAAGTAGTTATAAAAAAAAAGTAACCAAATGCATGATTAGTATTTTGTGAAAACGTGCTTAAACTAAAAGTTAAATCAAACTCACCTTTAGAGTCCTTATTTCATCTCCAATGTTGAAAAAATAACAAAAATCCATAAGTTATACTTCCATGTTAGGCTAGGCATGTGATTTTGGGTCGGGATATCCTCACCCTCCGAACTGGACGTGAAAGTCGCCCCTTATCCGAGAATAAGTACTTTTAGTCGAAGTATTGTTAGAGAAATATATAGAGAAACTTAAGGAAACACGAAAATAAACAATTCAAACCCAACGTAGCGTTCTATGGATTTTGACCCAAAATAACATATGCGACACCCATATCTTTCATTTCAAACTTTCTAGTCAATATTTGTTTTGTAGCAAAAATAATTTCTTTATTGCTACCAATTATTAACATATCACCATACCAGCATATAGTTAGAACTCCATTTGAGTTCCTTTAACATATAGACACATTTGTCACATTCATTGATTTTGAAGCCATTTGTTATCATAACATGGTCAAACTTTTCATGTCATTGCTTGGACGCCTGTTTCAAACCATGAAGAGATTTAATCAGGTTACATACTTTCTTGTCTTGTCCAGGAACAACAAAATCATCTGGTTGTTCCATATATATTTCTTCCTCTAATTCACCATTTAAGAAAACTGTTTTTACGTCCATTTGATGTATTTCAAGGTTGTATAAAGTTGCTAAGGCTATTAACACGCGGATAGAAGTTCTAATAACGAGTGAATATGTATCAAAATAATCCAACACTTCTTTTGTTTATAGCCTTTTGCTACAAGGTGAGCCTTATACTTATCCATTGTTCCATCTGCTTTCGTCTTCCTCTTAAAAATCTATTTACAACCCAATGATTTAGTACCATGAAGAATATCAACCAATTCACATGTATGATTATGCATAATGGAATCAATTTCACTTTTTATATAGCATCTTTCCAATATGGTGCTTCTAGAGAAGAAATTGATTTAACAAGTGTTCGGGGTTCATTTTCTAACAAATATGTTAGAAAATCTTGCCCAAAAGTCTTTTCAACTCTTGTTCTCTTACTACGTCTTGGCTCTTAAATCTCATCCAAATTTTCTTGATTAGATGATGATTCATATGTCATTTTCCTTATATTTGACTCGTTTTTCATATTATAAAGAAACACATTTTCAAAAAATGATGCACTCCGTGACTCAATAATTGTATTTGCATGTATGTCAGGATTCTCTTATGTACAAGACACCGATATGCACTACTATTAATTACATACCCAATAAAAACACAGTAAACCGTTTTTTGCCCTATTTTAACCATTTTGGGTAGCCACCTTTGCCAATAAATTTATAAGTCGGTTTTCGTCCATTCCATAATTCATATAGAATTTCTTGTGTTTTCCTGAATTTTATTTAGGATGTAATTTGATGTAAGCAACGCTTCCCCTCACAAATTTTGTGGTAATCCTGAACTAATCAATATGGCATTCATCATTTCTTTAAATGTTCGATTTTTCCGTTCTGCAATGTCATTTGATTGAGGAGAATAAGAAGCTTTATGATAAGAAAACGATAGTCAATTGGATCTAAGAACCCTTATGGTTATGCAAACCCCTAGATCACAAATGGATTTCAACCCAAGGAAGAAGTTAGAACGAATTTACCTTAATGATCAAGATCAAGAGTAGAGAAAACTTGTTTCTAAACTCAAGATTCGAACCACTCCACAAGATAGCTTGATCAAGGCTACTTGAATGACTCTA